GGTGGCGAGCTCCCTGGTGGAGAGCTACTTGGTGGCGAACTGCTTGGTGGCGAACTCCCTGGTGGAGAATTGCCTGGTGGCGAGCTCCCTGGTGGAGAGCTACTTGGTGGCGAACTGCTTGGTGGCAAACTCCCTGGTGGAGAATTGCCTGGTGGCGAGCTCCCTGGTGGAGAGCTACTTGGTTGCGAACTGCTTGGTGGCGAATTGCCTGGTGGCGAACTCCCTAGTGGAGAACTGCCTGGTGGCGAGCTCCCTGGTGGCGAACTCCCTGGTGGCGAACTCCTTGGTGGCGAACTGCCTGGTGGCAAGCTCCCTGGTGGAGAACTACTTGGTGGCGAACTCCCTGGGGGAGAACTGCCTGGTGGACTCGTCATTTGACCTACTCCTAGGCGGCCTGCAACTCAGAGGACGGTGGAGCTCCCTGGTGCAGCGCAACTCGACTGCCCTCTGTATGAGGTGATTTCCTCTCCTTTGTAGGCGGCAAGAGCTGAGGGACCTGCGAGAACTGAATCAGAGGACCCGGGGGTATTTTCCCGGCGGGGACTCTCCGATGCCTAAGTTAGCATTCTGATTACAGAGAGCTTGGAGAGAAATGAGAGAGGTAGAGAGCAGGGGTTACCATCATTTTTCCCTCCCCCTTAGCTTTGGGGGTTGGAGTCCTTATATAGTGGTGTCCTCGCGGGTTAGGTGGGTGAAAAGCCTTCAAACAGTAAGACTCGTCACATCCCGTCAGAACCGGGGTACGGTGGTGAGGTTGTCAGGCTGGCGCTTGTGTCAGGCAGCCAGGTCGGCGCCTGATCCAGGTTGTCAGGTCGGCGCTTGTGTTAGTCGGCGGGTCGGTGTCTGGGTCAGGTTGTCAAGTAGGAGATCTTCCTGCGATACGCCAAACTACTCTTCTGTATCGAGCTACCCTACAAGTGGCGAGCTGCCCGGGGAGCTATGCCGAGCTGCTTGTCTCCTTGGTGGCGAGCTCCTTGGAGAGCTGCCTAGCTCCTTGAAGAGCTCTTTGGTGAGCTACCGAGCTCCTTGGTGAGCTACTGAGCTCGCAGGGTATACAGTTATGGTTCATCGGTGGGCGTCTTATGGGTTGCCAGGTCGGCCAGGTCAGATCATGTGTTGGGCTGATCCAGGTCGGCCAGGTCGCGCAGGCCACGCCAGACAGTGCGCAGGCCGTGTGCAGGCCGCGCGACAGGTAGCGCGCCGGCCGCGCCATACTGGCCAGGTCGGTGCCCCAACGGGACACCGACTTGGTAAGTTGTTGCCTAGGTATCACCTATTTGTCACGAGGTGCCACGTATCGCAATTTCACAGGAGGGCCAAATCTGCCCTCATTAATTACATTAAAAAGCCTTCAATGGCTGGATTGACTTTTCCATGGATTGAGTTTTACATTGATGACTTTTCCATCGAAATCAAACGCAGTCTTATTTGTTCTTCTTCAAGTAACAGAGTTTATGGGGTTTCAATGCCAGTAAATGCTTGAAAAAAAAAGCTTTATTTCATTCTTTTATCAAAAAATAAAAAGATTCTATTCACGGATTTGCTGTCTGAATCAATAGCTTCCTGTATATTTAATGCAATCTAAATTTGAGACTACAGCAATCCGCACTCCTTTCGGTGGAACAGTTCCGGTAGAGTTTATTTAGACCACATAGTTTGGTCAGGCTTGTTGGAACCAATGGGTTCACTACCTTACACTTGTCAACCAGGGTCGGTGGAATTTAGACCATGTTCTAAGTTCTTTAAATAAAAAAAGAATCATAGAGCAATAACTTAGATCATGGTCTCCATTAGATCCCTTTGCAAATGAGAAAAACATATATTTATGTAAACATCAAAATAATGGATGGATCATAAGCCTTCTCCACATAATGATCTAATTATATGCAAAACTAAACCATGATAATTAATAATAATATTCTGCTAGATATTGTTATTATTATTATTTTAATTTTAAAAATGCTGTTGATAGGACTAAAAGGGATTTCTTGAAATATTATTCAATGAGCCTCCTTATGTGAGATGATTTTTATTTTAGACATTGGGTTAGAATCCAGTCAATGAGCATGAGTCCTCTAATAACTAATTATCATTCAGAAGGAGATTTTATTAATTATAAGAAAAAGTGATGATTTTTCTCATCATTTTGCAAAGAAAGCTTAGAGTGAGGAGATGGGGATGGTGAATGCTCAGGCTAGTGGGAGTGGAAATTACATCCATTGAAAACTGCTTTATTTATATAATATCAAATTATTATAGTAAATTTTATGATGCATCCATTGCACACTGCATAAAAAGATATAATTGGTTGAATGTGATAATAAATAGATCTTGTTGTATGTGAATAAGGATCAAGCATAAGGATTAAGCTATATATATATATATATATATATATATATATATATATATATATATATATATATATATATATATATATATATATATATATATATATATATATATATATTTTTAACATTTTACATTTGCAAAACGTCAATATGGTATGGTTGTAGAGTGTAGAGCGAGAGAAAGTTGGGAGTAGAAAAGACCTTTTGCTTGTAAGCTTTATTGATTCTTTTGAGTGAAGAAGTTAGGTATATAGAACATTAAATAGAGTAGCTGTCTCTTCAACCTTTGCCTTTTATCATATCAATTTTAGGAGAATAAAGTAAAAAATGATCTTTCTCAAGAAATTTCAATCCAATATTTTATTTGTTATATCAAAACTTAATGATGTTAGTGATAAATTAATTTTTTAATTATGGCAAAGGTTTGTACTTTTTGTATTTGTCAAACCTATTTATTTGTTTTTTTAGTAAATTGTGCAAATTAATTTTAAGAAAATTTGGGTATCAACATATGTATTATAAACAGTATTTCAAAGGCAGTTTTAAGATAATCAAAGGCATGCTTACACTATGTTTGGTTTGAAGGAAAAGGTAGGGAAACATATACAAGGTTTGTAAGGGTTTTCCTACCTTTCTATACTTTTTCCCTCAAACCAAACACAGTCTTAGTAAATGGATGAATAGATGAAATGATTGATATAGGCAAGTGAATTCCACAAATGCATTGAATAAGTTATAGTAAAACCATGTTTTGATTGTTTATTTGAACAGTAAACTATTGGAATACACTTTGGAAATATTGTAAAATGGTGAAACAATTTAGATATGCATAAGTGCAGTTTGGAAACCAATATAAATTTCATTGATATTTAGAAATATCAAATTTAATGATAAATAAAATTTTCATTCTTTTTTTCTTAATTATAACATTGTCATTTCAATGACTATTGGCTAATATAAACCATTATTCAGTGATAAATCACCAATACCATTAACATATAAGAGGCAAAACTGGATTTACTCCTCACAGCAGTTACAATCATATATTGGAAATATTTATCTGTAATTAATAATATATAAATACAGAAGATATTCCCAACGCATGGCTGAAAGTATTGTGAGGATGGTGTGAAAAATGCTCTTTGAAGAGCAAATCTAAATTCATTAGAGGAATGATAAACGAAAATCAGAAATTACTACATCATTCTACTTGTGCTCGAGTGGGTATTAAAAGGAAAAGGAAAAAAAAAAAAGAAAAAGAAAAAGAAAAGAGAGAAAGAAAGATATATATAAAAAGAAAAACCTTAAAATTTACCGGAAACCGATAATTGACTCAATGCAGCGGAAGAAATGTGAAGGGATCGTGATGGCCATGTTCATCTAATCATACAAATCCTCTATTTTTATCATTAAAATATAAACTCAAAGAAATTAATAAATCCTAAACTAACCTAACAATGCTATTAATGGATAAGACCAACGATCTAGTGCTTCTCCCCACACACTTGCATTTGTGTCATCTCATGCACATAAAGCCAGCTTACTTCCTCACTAATATCATTTATCTTGCATCTGAGTTATCCATCCCAAATCCAGTGGCCGACCACGTAGCCCACTACGGCAATTAACCCAAGTGAATCACATGATGATGCCCTTCCTTCCTTCTTAATTTTTAAATTAAAAGGTATCTACCTAAGCACGTGGTGGGAGAACACAACACCAAATACTTTCTTCGTCTCGATGATCTGATGGGACACAGATATTCATCAATTCAACTCAAACGGATGGTCCTGATTATTCCGTCGTTTTTTTTCGTCTTTTCATTTTTCCGGTTAAACCTAAATCCAGTTAACCAAAATGCTTGTTCTTTTCTTACTTGTTCTCATTGTTTGTCAGTCGTTGGATCCTTGATTCATGCACATTTTGTGCAGAGTGAGGCCTGAAAGCTGAATGCCCATACTAGGTTGTTGTTGGATGGTACGGATACCATTGACTCCATTCGAGAAGTTGGGCCCTGGACCATGAATCTCTGATACCACTTGGGCCCATACAAGGTTGGAACCCATTGGACCCATTTAATGGGTATGTTGGCAAAAATCTTAAAATCATTTTGCATATTCTTATGTATGTTACTGAAAAATTAATCCTTTTCTTTCGTGGGCACCAAGAAGTAAGAACATGATTCGTATCAGACGCTAAAAATATCAGGATCAAATGGGCCCCACTGGCGAAAAAATCATACAATTGGACAATCTCCATGAAAGATGATCTCAGCCATTGATCTTACTCTGGTCCGTGGACCGTGGAGCTTGAATAAGGCTTCAGATAAAAAGTTGTATGAATATGATTGAAACGAACGGTTAGGAATTGTTCAATAATGGTGGACCCCGATCCTTTGCCTACCGGACACGTATTCAGATATACTGTGTTCTGTGTTTGCGTCATTGGATGCAGCAAGTTTCAAATAAAAAAATGTTAAAGAATGAGAAACATCATAAACAATCTATCCCGTCCATTACAAATCTACGTTGCTTTCGATGGTCGGAAATAAAAAAAAAAAAAACAAAAGAGAGAAAATGGGAAATGACATTTTATTTTCGGAATCCAAGTATCCAACTCAAAATCATCGTCATCCATCGTTTTTGTTCTAAAATTTCTTACAGACCAGAGGATCGCCACGCCAACCTCTCTGGCTCTCTCTATTTATATTGTTTATTTCCACCCTTTAGATTCGAAACCCATCTACAAACATCTTTCTTTTTCTGTTTTTGGTACATAAGAGGTTCTTCTTTGGTTGAATCAAGAATTGCTAGAACAAATAAAAGAGGAAGCAAAAAAAGGGGGCCTTTTTCGCCCTCTATTCTTCTTATGCCTCCTCTCAGATCTTAGATTTCCTGGATTTCGCATCTTGGTTCTTCCAATCGGTAAGTTTGTTTTGATAGTTTTGCTCTGATCATTTCTCTGTTTTCAGATCTCTCTCGGATGATATTGGATTTATGATCTAAATGGGTTTCATTTTTTTTTCTTTTGGTTTTTCAGGAATCCTGGAATTTGAATTGATTAGTCGATGAAGGATCCGATATTCCTCAATTGAATTTGAGATTACCCATTTAATAACTGATATACAATCTTCTGATTTCTGGGTAATTTCTTGGATAAGGTATTATTCTTCTTGTTTCGTTGGTTGTTATCTGCATTTCAATTCATTAGATTGGATTCCTTTGATTCATATTAGATTGAATTCTATGGCTATTTACTTACCTCTCCTGGAATTTTATGGTACGGGTTGGATCTGATGCAGAATTTCTCAATTGAGCTTGTGCTAGAGAAAAATACTTTTTTGCTGTTTGAAAAATCTTTGTTTTGTATTGGGTATTATCAATTCTTATGGTTGTTTAAATTTTCTGAGATTGAGAACTAAATTTGTTATGGTTTCTTCACATGGATATATGACAGAAAAGATGGAATCGGATCTTGGAAAGCTCTTCATAGGTGGAATTTCTTGGGACACGAACGAAGATCGTCTCAAGGAATACTTCAAATCTTATGGAGAAGTTGTGGAAGCTGTGATCATGAAGGATCGGACCACAGGTCGTGCCCGCGGTTTTGGGTTTGTCGTATTTGCAGACCCTACTGTTGCAGAGAGAGTTGTCATGGAAAAACACACAATAGATGGTAGAACGGTAAGTGGATTGATTGGATATCAATTTACATCTTGAAATTAAGCAACACTGCAGTTTGAGAAGTTCTGAGAACTCATTTTCTTTCTGACATTCATGGGTTCAGAAAAATAATTCTAAGAATTCGATTCCTCCATCTCATTCTGAATTCAATCAGTTCTCAGGTTGAGGATTATCCCCCACACACAAACACATTTATGAAAATGAGAATACATGTCTTGTCTCAAGTTTTTAATGTCTTGATTGAGATTCAAAAACTTCTCGAAGATCCACTACTTTTTGGGGCATTAGAAATCTGAGTATCTTAGAGTTGGTTTTCATTATTGGATTCTGAATTCTCAGGTTGAGGCAAAGAAGGCTGTTCCGAGAGATGATCAGCACATTCTGAATAGAAACAACAGTAGTGTTCATGGATCACCGGGTCCTGCCCGTACTAAAAAGATATTTGTAGGAGGCTTAGCATCCACAGTCACAGAGAGCGACTTCAAGAAGTACTTTGAACAATTTGGGACAATCACAGATGTTGTGGTGATGTATGATCATAACACCCAAAGGCCAAGAGGTTTTGGATTCATCACTTATGATTCAGAGGAAGCAGTTGAGAAGGTGTTGCTCAAGACCTTCCATGAACTGAATGGTAAAATGGTTGAGGTCAAGAGGGCTGTCCCAAAGGAGTTGTCTCCAGGGCCCAGCAGGAGCCCTCTAGGTGGATATAACTATGGCCTAAGCAGGGTTAACAGCTTTCTTAATGGCTATACTCAGGGATACAATCCAAGTTCAGTTGGAGGTTTTGGAGTTAGGATGGATGGTAGATTTAGTCCAGTTGCTGGTAGCCGAAGTGGATATCCACCATTCGGTCCTCCAGGTTATGGAATGGGTGGTGTAAATTTCGAGCCAGGGCTGAGCCCAAGCTATGGGGGAAACTCAAACTTTGGTACTAATATTGGCTATGGACGAGGATTAAACCCTTACTACAGCGGGAACACAAATAGGTTTGGTAGTCCTATTGGATACAGTGGAGGTAATGGAGGGAGTGGTTCTGTTTTAAGCTCAACTAGCCGGAACGTGTGGGGGAATGGGGGCCTTGGTTATGTCACAAACTCTGCAAGCTCTAGTGCTTACATGGGCTCTGGTAGTGGGACTATTGGAGGTGCTTTTGGCAATAGTGGTGCAAATTGGGGCTCCTCGCCTTCTATTTCAGCTCAAAGTGGAGGTAGTGCTTCTGGATTTGCCAGTGGGAATCTTGGTTTTGGAAGTGGTGATAGCGGTTTTGGGTTGGGTGGGGGAGGGTATGGAAGAAACAGTGGAACTAGTGCTGCCATGGCATCATCATATGCTTCATCAAATGGTGGTTATGATGGTTCTTATGGAGATTTCTATGGTGGTAGTTCAGTTTATGGTGACTCCACTTGGCGGTCTGCTAATTCAGAGCTAGAGGGGTCTGCTTCATTTGGTTATGGGCTTGGCAATGCAACTTCAGATGTAACATCTAAAAGTTCTGCGGGTTATGTTGGTGGTTATGGTGTTTCCAATAGACAATCAAATAGAGGTACGGGATCTCTTTGGCTTCATAATGTGCTCTAATGATCTATTCTTGTTTTGTTTACTCTAATGCTGAAATTTGTTACGTACAGAACAGTTCTAGGTTCCCTACCTCACAGATGTGGGGCAAGATTTTTAATTTGGATAACCCTTGGCTACCTGTTGCAATTGCATGTAACAAACATTTTGCCAATTGAATTATAAGTCTTGAACTGTTTAACCAATATATTTTTGGAGCACTAATAATGGCTATATTAACAAACCAAAAGTCCATTTAGGTTATTAGATTTGAACTCCATGGCCTTCATTTGAGCAAATTTACCAAATAAAAGAAAAACAAGAATGAGAAAACTAGCTAATTGATTCAGATAGTATGTTTTGAATTAGAGCTCTTTTGTGGGGATGTACCACCTGTTTATCATGAAATATGGCTCATGGAGCAGTGCAGTATACATCCTCCAGTGCTTCAATGATATGTTTATTGTTCTGTATAAACATGGAGGCTGTTCCATATTCATCTTCTGAACATTTCAACTATAGACATTATTCAATGATGGTACAGGCCATCCATGTGCCATATTCATTTGTGTGTGTGTGCGCACATGCATGCAAGTGGCTGCTTTCAGACTTAAAACACAAATTCTCATACTCATCAGCCCGAAATTTTACCATCACACAAATTAATGACCCCTCTTTGAAGTATTTTGATTCTTGGAACAAAAGTGGGGAAACATCAGATAATCCTGGCACCAACATGCTCATGATTTTACATCCTTTTCAATCTCAACTGACAATGATCCTGTGTAGGAATATTTGTTGATATTAAAAGAAAAAAGAAAAGAAAAACCAAGGTGTTTAAACGTCCACCAAAGGACATCCATGTGTGATACCTACGTTTTTTTACTGCAAAAGCAACCAAAATTACTAGGTGATTATAGTCATTTGATTTGTATGTTTTTAATCAAGCAAAATGTTTTGTACCCATAACATGGTCCTTTGAACTGGTTAAGATTATGCTGCCCTAGGGGGCTGCAAACAGATAGGATCAAATTGGATATGCCTAGGTCCAAATTTGATTTGTTAATATTTGGATTCAAATTGATTCTCATCCATTGGTTCATATCAGACTTGGATCAAACATGGATATTAAATGTCACTAATAAATTAAAACTAAAAGTGATCAGAGTATTACTAAAAATGGCTTTAATATTGTATATTGTTTGACACTCGTGTCTATGACTCATTAGTAAACACACAACATTCAAACGAACAATAGTTATAGATACATATTGATTTTATGAATATGTAAGCATATAAACCTAATATTTTAAGATTGGATCATAACATATTAGATTTGGGTGGATCCATATGTGATCCAATTATAAATAGAAAGAATTCAGACTGCTTTAGTTGGTTCAAAATCAATTTTGAATTCAGACAAGCAGATGCAATTTGCATCCTGGACCACAGAAGGCTAAGTGGCACCAGGACTTTACCTGTGTCACTAGGATATAGGAGCCTGGACTATATTTAAGTATCTGATATGCTTGAGTGTGTGCTTGCATTTCAGTGATCAGATGGAATAGTCCATCTGATTATGGTGACATCTTTGCATCGCCTGTTCAACTTGATTATGGTTTTCCTTTTATAGTTCAGCCTGTGCTTGAATTGGATGCAGGACATTGTCTAACCAATTCAGTTTCCAGGTCAAAACTGGAAAGGGGGAGAAGGAGAAATTGAGATGTATAAAACATTTACTACAGTGATTTCCTTTTGACTTCACTTATGCTGAACGGTTTAGTTGCTGTTGTCTGGAAGTAGGCTATAACCTTTAGATAACCACTGTGCTATGATAAATTGTGGTATTTACACATCATTGGTCTTACTTGCTTCAGGAATTGCTGCATAGGAGGATAATTATTTGGATATCAGCAGGTTATTGTAGGTGAAGATAATCCAGTGATCCAGGTGAATGACTTGTGAATTTCGTACATCTCCCTCATTAATATATTTCAGTTAAAATGAAATTGATTATCTAGAGCTAACTGGAGTTCCTATTTTAAAGACGCTGAATTCAGAGAGAGTGAGAGCAGTTACAAGGGATTTTGTGTAAGGTTTGAGGAATTTGAGTTTTTCAATTTAGGATCTCTTATTCAGGTTTGATTGAGATGTAAAATCAGATTGCGGGATATATTCAGAAAAGAGTGATTCTGATCAATGTATCGTGCACTGTGGCGATACATAAAAACAGACTATTATTTTTTAAATTTCTTTTCTTTTTTTACCTCTGTAATGTCTCTGGCAAAGTTGCTGGTTCTTGTCAGGTATGCTTTTCTGTTTCATTTTTTTTTGGATTTTGATTTTTCAGATTGTACCAGAGGTTCTGGATGATTACTAGTGTGAAACTTTTGAGGGATACCAATCTGAGTTCCCCAAGAATAAGTTACCAAATATTCTGATTCATTTCTATGGAATACTTTCTTTTCAAGAAGTATAATCTTCGTTTTTGTGGGCAATGAATATGAATATAAGATAACCACCACTCTCCTTATTCGTTTTGCTCGGGTACCCTTTGGTGACTTTGATTAGTTCAACCGAGACTTGTGATTTTGTTCGTTTTCCCAGTTAAAAAATTACTCAGTCGTGGTCTTTTTACTCGCTACTCATGTTTCAAAGAAAGGTGGTCAGATCAGGATCCTCCATTCGATTGTTCCAGTCTTGAGAAGGTGGCAGTTATTTGACCCATAAACCTTTCATTTTCATTTTCTTTTTCTTGTTTCTCTCTCTCTCTCTCTAATTTGGCTCATCCAAAACCACTTTGCATTAAGCTTTGGAGCTTGGCATCCCCAAAAGGCACATTTCCTGATATTATGATGGAGATGGAGATTCATCCTACAAGATGATTACCAACTTTCCCTTCTAAGTTTTAACTGAACGATTTGGAGAAAATCTATGATGCAGAAAAGATATGATATGGAAAGAATTTTGACCAATCAAAACCCACTAATGAATTTTGATAAATAACACCTTATTTGCTCTTACGTTTGTGATTTCAGTTTATTGGTCAGTTATTTTTCCCATATCATAGTCGAACCCTTTTCTTTTTCATTTCCATATCAAATGGGTTGGTAAGTTTTAGAGCAGGTTCATGTGAGTTTTGTAGTTCTAAATGCTACAAATACAAAGGAGGATGAGTGGTGGTATCCTTCCTTCCTTCGTCTTCCATTTTCCCGCTGTAAATTATACGATCCATAATCCTTTTCTCAGTTGTCTTCTTTCAACCAATAGCTAAGGCCTAGGGGGCGCACCATACAATGTCTAGAATCCAGATGTGTGGCGTATGATGCACTTGCATCAACCCAAATAAAAAAATAAAAAAAAACAAAGAAAAAAAAGGAGGCCAACCAACCACTAACCAGCTTTGAAAAATTTTCACCGACGCATGCAAAAGGCCATTTTGCGTTGGACCACAACTTTTTCTTGGGTTGGAGACGTGTTGAGATCCCCTTGGACCTGTTTGTTTAATGGAACTACTCTGGTAATGGGCTTCGTAACGCTATGGTGAGCCCATCCCAATTTCAAGTGATGAAAGCAACTTGATTTGGTAAGTGGTCGTCCTATTCCCAAAAAAATAGGTCCAGTTGTATAGTCTGGATCACCGCCATTCAGCATTCTGATAAGAAAAATCAAACCATTTATACAATCCTAACCATTCAATATGCAGAAAAATGTCTGGTATGAGGACAACAATTGCTTGCACACCTAATGATCTCTCCATAATTTTGATCTGCGATTTCCAAATCATGATGTACCAAATGTTGGAAAATGGAAATGTTAACCCAACGGTCTGCAACTCTGCATCACCAGATCAATCTAGTTCTAGACTCTAGACTGCTGTATGATGATGCATTATGATTTAATTTATATATGCTTATTTGAATAATTTAGAAGCCTTAAAGAGAGGCCATTTTGTCACTTACAATCAGTTTGCTTTTCTTCTTGTGCTTTATCGGATTCTCTCTATTCCTTCCAATCGGAAAAAGGGTAATAAAGTAGGGACTAGGGAGGGGGAATTTCTAACAGCCCAAAAGTAAGAAAAAGGAATGGCTCCATTGCCACTTTGTAAGTTGTGACCCAATCCATCTCGTCTTTTTCCAATATCCAAGTTCAAATTAATACCAAACTTACCTCTTCTGTGAGTGATTGAAACGGAATATATGTCTTTCCATCCACCCATTGCTACAAGCAAACCAAAAAGAAGAAGATTCATAGTTTCTGCCTCACTTCTTTGAACAAGAAGGGCAGAAATTTATTGAGACAATTTCAGATTAGATACCCCATCTAAATGTCAAAGAGCCTGGTCCATACTGGAGCGGTAGTCAATTTCAAGAAACAAGTGTCTTTTCCTTTTCAAACCGTTCTACCCAGAAAGGTAATTAGACATTAAAATGCGTTAGTCCATTATCAATACTCACTGTAACTCGTGGACCCTCAAACCATACGTCCTAGTCCTTTAGCTTTCTTTCCATAAAGACTGGCTGACTCTCACTGTTTACATTTCTTACAACTATAGGATCCATCCAAAACCACCATGATTTCCAATGGGCTCTGCAACCAGTCAAGTTGGAAACCGTAACGTGCATAGCAGCTCCTATCTTAACCGAATTCAAACTGTTGCCAAGAAACAGAGAACTCCATGAACAAAAACATCCCACCAGACATGGACAATCTAACATCTCTCACCTCCTGACTGTATTTGGAGTAGCTAAGAACACCCAAAAATTTCTTTGGAATCCCGTGGTGTTGAACCAGAATTGCAAAAACTAAGGAATCTTCATACTTTGCTAGAGAAGAATTTCAACATCAAACAGTGTTCTGGAGAAATACACTCAACAGGTAAGGTTTATTGGAGTTCTCAGCAGGTAAGGTCTATTGGCAATTCTTGATTCAAACTAGATTGCACCATCTGCACTCCTCTCCATTACAAGCAAGGAACATGGTCATGAAGTACAACTTTGAAATAGAGAAGATGGAGAAAATAGTTCCAAGGTAATAGAATTTGTAACTGAGAATAATGCATTCCAAATTTACAAGCTAAATGTTCCAAGTTCGTGCAAGGTTGTTTATGCACTGGAGTGTAACACAACAGTCACTCAGTCAGGACCCTTGATATGACTGAAGGCTAAAATCCAGGTTGGCTAAGGAGCTCCCATGGGTTTTACAACAAAAGTGATGGCTCAAAGACAAGGCAGACATGTATGTTGCAGCAGTGCTCTTTTACAAATCATTGCCTATAACACTTGTACCTTGATGGGAATTGGTTTGGTGGAAAGGGAAAACATTTACACTTCCTACTCAGCAGGTTCTTGTCTATGCAAGTGCAAGAAAACGCCACTCAGAAGTAACATTTTGGAGGATAAACAAGAATAGACTGGGATGGTTTGACAGACGTCTTATAGATGCTGGCAACAAACCAAAGCATGGTAGAGTTCGGAATTTATGATGATGATAGCTTACAATAATTAGACATCATCTGAATTTTCAAGAGTTTGGAAATGAATGTTGTCATTGCATGGCTGCAAAGGGGTTGGAGTTGGTGTTGCAGACAATAATGGATATTAAAGGTTATTTCTTGGAATGACGAAATTGAACACAGCAGGATACATCTTCAGAATGTTGGAAAGACTGGGGAGATCTACCAGAAACTAGGTCAGAACAAGAGGATGGAGCTGGAACTGGATTTTCTTAAGGACATGCAATTAACAATATCCTAGAGTTGTAGGGACTCCTTTCATTGGCAATAATCTGCAGGTAAAAGCTAATGCTGAAGTTTGATTTAAGTACCACTTTCCAGAATTGAATTCTTGCTGATACTAATTATAAAATAGTTGCTGAACTTTGTATCCATTCAATATCTGAGTTGGTTTGCAATAACCTTCCACAGTGAACCAAAATCAGAGACATAAAACCAAATTCATCAGTCTTATAGGTAAAACCAACTTTGTATTTTGACATCACAACTTTTCTTTCTTAAAGCTTTCCCCTTTTGAACCAGGTCAGAACACTAGTAATCCCAGTTGAGCAAGCTTTGAGAAGTGAGAACAGTAGGAATCAATACCAAAACCTTCAAATATGAAGAGACAAATTGCAATCTGGAATCTGGCATGTGAGCAAGAGCTCTATGCCCTTCATATCCAATTTGTTTATGAAGCCAAACAACAGAGGGAGAGGGGGGGAGGAAGGGAGAAATAGATCATCTGGCTCTAGGGGTAAATTCAGTCACCACCTCCAAAAAACTACCAAGACAGTTCTCCAGAGAGTGCCTTTATGAGATCTGCAATGATGTAATAAAATCCTATAAGAGTAGAAATCAGAGAACTACAACAGGCCAACAATGAAATGGATGAAGTTCTATAAAATATTCCAGGTAAAGGTTCTGGCCTTGGGAATCCATTTAGGAATAAATTGGAGATGGATAAAAGAAGACAGGCAATTGTAAATTCTCTTCATCACACAAGGTGATCTTTGAGGATTTAGGGTTTTTAATCTTGGATTGTGAGTGCTTGACCAACTGAACAACTTATAGATGCTAGAAAGAGCAACTTGAGAAGGAAAAATGGATTTCATGAACAGGAGAGAGCTGGCAAGGGATGGGTACAAAGATTTTTGAGAATTTGGACGCCAGTGATCTATCAATGATGATGTTGAAACTCGAACTCTATTACGAATAAGATACTGCAGACCCAAATTCTCTGCCTTTGCTCCAATCTACTCCGGAAGAAGACAGGGCACTGCACATAAATGGCCGATAAGTACAGCTGATTGCTTTTATCTAGGTAGGGCTGTCAATGGACCAGATGCAATCCGATCCAGTCCAATATGAATTAATCCATTACAGATGGACCAGGTCCAATCCAATCTGGTGAATACTATGGACCATTTTGAATCGGTCCAATTCAATGTCTGGACTGCCCAATCTGTTCAAATTGGTTTTAATTTAGATTGGTTCCAACTCCCAGCCCAAACCTGGTCCATTGACACCTGTATTCTTATCTTCTATTGATGGACAGGATATTGGTTCAATCCGACCCAATCCAATATAAATCCATTACAGATGGACCAGGTCCAATCCAATCCAACAAGTACTTTGGACCAATAAGTCTGGACTGGTCCAATTCAATGTCTTTTTGGTCCATCCAATGTGTCCAAATTGATTTTGATTTGGACAGGGTCCAATCCAAAACCGGTCCATTGACACCCCTAATTGTGGGGCAGCATCTTGAGTGTGACAATATTAGTCACATGTTTCTCACACCCAGCTTCTTTCCCTGGTTACAAGTACCCCTTTTCTCCCCTCTTTAAACATAATCTGATTCTTTATTTCTTCTTCTAAATACTATCCTATGAACAAAGAAATGGAAATTAAACTCTACTTGAAGTAGAATCCATGCATAAACAAAAGTTCTATCTACTTCTGAGTTGTATCTTTTTATAGTAAAGAAACAATTCATGAAAAGAAAAGAAAAGCATATACACATTGATGCCTAATTTCAGAGAAAGGTTTTTCTTTTGTCTAATAAATTTTATTAATACTATTTATCAAAAAAATAAATTTTATTAATACTTCAAATCGGATGCTATGTTTAATAATTCAGCCTTACTCATGAAGGCCATCTTCCTGCATATTGTGTCACTATCAACGCCAGTAGCATATTTGGGTTCATATTATACTGCAGACCAACAATATACGACACTACCTAACAAAAGAAATCAAAGACAACTGTCTTTGCGTTACTGCCTTTCTAAATGATTCTTCTTGCTTAAAAACTCACAAAAATGTATCATCTTCTCAAACTAGTCAGTTTTGGCAACATTGGTTTTAAACCATGTTTATGAAATCCAAATATATAGGTATTTCCACATAGGCTATGCATGTACATACCGGCTTAATAACCATAAAATTACTAATTAAGGTGTTAAAATTAAGCACACCAAAACTTTGGAATTTGACACAACTTGCTTTATTATCCTTTTCTCCAAGATCAATCTTGCTTCCGGTTAATGTTAATTATTTATTATTTAAATTCCATTTAATTGGATATTGGTTTATAACCTTTGATAGAGAAGCCTACTGTTAGTGTTCGGTCTGCCAGTTAGACTGATAACAGTCAAGGAAGAGAGAGAGAAGAGAGAAGGAGAGAGAAAGGAGAAGAGCAGAAGAGAAATAAGGAGAAAAGATTTTGGTTCGAATGAGAGAAAAAAAGTTCTCTCCCATTCGGCCAGATGTATTTTATATTACTAAAATAATGTGGAAAAGTCACATATGCCCCTACTTAAGTTAGGGACATTAAGTCTAACATAAACTTACACATTAGCACCTAAACACAAGCATAAAGACAAAATTACCCCTACATACTCGACACTAACACCTACTAAAACTACTTACTGAATTTTTGTACTAAGGATACATGCATATGAAGTTGGCCACTCTCATTAGGTGTGCAAACTAGATTATAGTGACATTGGTTAGACATAACTCAAAGCTACGCTTAGATTAGATTTGTACCAGTTTGGCCTGATTTGGAATGTCATAAGGTTCCTTTTTCTTTAATTTCACGTGACAAAAGCCCGTGCATCACATGGGCCCTGACTAGTATCAAATATTTTGAAAACCCAGGTGCAACTTCACAATAAAATTGCTAAGTCAAATAGTCAGAACAGAGCAACACTTTCTCAAAAACTACTTGATCTTGATAACCATCTATGCTATCCACATGAGAATGGCGTTTGGAAGACATTTGGACCACCATATTGATGTCCTTGTCTGCTCCTAAAAAACATATAGAAACACTCTTAGACTCTTCACATGAAAAAAGCCCATGCATCACACGGGCCCTGACTAGTATCATATGTTTTGAAAACCCAGGTGCATCTTCACAACAAAATAGCCAAGTCAAATAGTCAGAACAGAGCAACACTTTCTCAAAAAAATACTTGATCTTGATAACCATCTATGCTATCAACATCAGAATGGAGTTTGGAGGACAGTTGGACCACCATATTCATGTCCTTGCCTGCACCTAAAAAACCTAATAGAAACTCTTAGATTCTTCAGGTGACAATACAGGGCCTTTTCCCTGGTGTTACTTAGACTGAGAATATTCTCAGTTCAGAATGTGAAAAAAGTCTTGAAACACAGAAAAAATCAATTTGTTCCTCTGCAGAGATTGAAACAAGCTCTGCTCTCAGTCCCTGCAGACATTGGTCCAGTATCAGATGGAGGCAGATCAAATTAGCTGTGTTTAATTTTGCTAGAGACCTCCTATCAAATGATGATTTCTGACAAGTGTTGCATTGATGATATAATCACTTCTACATCTTGCTATGGCTGAATACCTCCAGAAAACAATATAGAAGGTCCAGACACTCCAGTGGTTGGTTATGAACCTGACAGCCAAGGATTAAAGTATCAATACAAAGCCACCAATATGCTAAATACAAAGTTGGGGATTTGGACAAATTTAAATGAAAATACCCCTCTTAGAGATGCCCAGACCCAATTCCTGAAAAATCTTTTTTTAATCCTACTGTGTTGGTCAATCAAAACACAGGATGTACAAATTCATCATATTGTGCATATCAATACTTTAAAGCATGCTGACAGCAGAGCTGAACCAACATTTGATGGCATCACCAAGGGAGCTAAAGCAGTTTTGCAGAGGTGGAAGATAATTGAATGAGAAATTAGAGACTTCAAGCAGGATATCCAAGGGTTGAGATATTATGGACACAGGCTCTTGATAGAGATCCACTGCATGATGATTACCATTGCGGTTTCTAGCATGATGACACTCAGTCCACATGTTATGTGAACCCTGAAGGGAATGCATGTGGTTGAAGATCAGATAGGCTGTGAATTGATGCAAGTTGTTAACATAAAAGTATGTCTTTAGTCCCATACATGAAGAACTTCATGAAACTGCTGACATTTGCCCTAAAGGTAGGAACTCAATTAGCAGTAAGAATGAGAGAGATGATACCAGATTTGAGAAAAGAAGTCACACCTCTTGTTGTTCCTTATCTATTCATGACACAGCAGGGGCTGTCGGGGTTGTAGCTATTGAACAAGTAAATGGAATGAGAAATAGAAGCAAGTCTAGGTCACTAGGTGTATGAAGGAGTTCAAGGGATATTCAATGAGATATGAGAACTTCCCAGCAATGGCTTGTAGATTTACCAGAACTGCTCAACAGACAAATAAATTGCTGATAATTTTTGGACATTGGAGGGACAGATATATTGATGATGGACAGGTTGAATGGATTTGTAAGAGGGATAGAAAAAATAAGGGCAGATGAAGTAATTTAAATCCCTGTTTGAAATTGTGCATTCACAAGAGAACCCATGAGTAATAAACTAAGATAAGGGTTAAATTGTTTATTTATTTATTTATTTATTTTTTTGTTGAGCAAAGGTAAAGTATAGGTGTATTAATGAAAATGTCCTTTGTACAATGAGAAACTGTACAATACAAGCCAGAAGGACCTCAAAAAATGGTCACCATTGCATCTTACCATGATGGAACTTTGTATCTGGTGGCTAAACTTCTATTTCCTATAAGAAGAATAGCTCAACTTCCAAGGTTTAACCACATTTGAATGTCAAGATGTTTTATCCCTGATAGTCATAGAGAATTGGTTTATATTCAATTTGAGTTGTTAAAAAATGGTCAAATAAGAAAAACCTCAATGTTTTGCCATTGCCTAATCTGGAATCATATCTTACATATCCAGGTGAATGTAGCTTCAGATACAGCAGTATTTGATGACATATGTTAGCTCAGCGGTTTAGCTCAAATGACCTACAATCTAACAATTATTTAATTCAGAATACAGTCCAACAATATATGTTAGCCTGGTGGTTGAGCTCAAATGATCTATAATCCAACATTATCCAATTAATAATACACAAAACCCAAGCTTAAACCCACATAAGTAGAAGGAATAAGAAAAAAGAAAGCAAAAAGCAACTAAAACAGTATAAAAAGAACAGAGGAAGACTGATAGAGTAGTTGCATACATTGTGACTGCAGTTGTAATAGATAAATAGCTTGTAACACATAGGAGTCATGCTTTCCCTGATTCCCAACATCAAGAATACCCCAACATACAAGGGAAAAGCCCTGCTAAACTATAAAGCCCACGACTACTATTAGTGCTTGATTCTAAAACCTAACGTCACCTGTGTCTCAGAACTGGTCAAACTAAAGTTCAGAAGAAAGCCCTACTTCCATAAAAGACTCTCGAACCAGTGGTCTTTGATGAAGGTAGTTTTTGGTCGGAGCTAGAATTGGCACTTCCAGAATTGGGGCTTCCATTTTCAATGTCCAATGGAAGCTTCATCTTTGCTAAAGATTCAGTAAATTGCTGCATGCTTTTCATGTACATGTCTACTATCTCCTGTTGAACCACCGTTGGACCTGTTTCAATTTTTACATTCAGGAGAGGTTGTGAAGCTGGATTACTTGGCACCCCAGTGGAAGAATCACTATATGCGTCAAGAGCATCTTCTCTCCTCTCCTTCAAAGGTGAAGTCAGGTCCTGGTTAGGAGATTTCGGGGCCCCTGGAGTATCACAGACAGACTGAGAGCTTGCAGGAATTGAGGCAGAAGGAGACTCGTTTGTTGAAACACTGCTTGGAGTTGGAGGACTATCTTTCTTGGGAATCTCAACAGAATCAACACTACCTGCTGAGAAGCTTTCCACAACATGAATACCAATATCAGAACTGAGGTGATTTTCGGTGTCTGAGGTGCCCAAGCTCTCAGAGCTCTGAGAGTCCAAAGTGCTACATGGGATCCCAAAATATTCTGAAACCATCAGATTGTTTTCATTCACAATTTTTGGATCTGGGAACTCAATCTTATCAAAGTCACTGGGCAGAGAATCCGTTATTTCTGAATCTTGCTCAGGTGCTGGTGCAGTCAGAGATGCCTGTGGAGCAGGAATAGCCAAGACCTCCGGTGAAGCTCTGCTATAGGAGAGAGACAATTGGACAAATCCTGCTGGAGAATGGAAGAGATATGTTGAGGAGAGAGAAAACTCTTGTGCCAATTTTCCATTGCCAATAAGAACATCCAAAAGAGGCACCAGTGAGAATCCAAGCAACTGGTCTTCAAGATAATTCTTCACCCTGCTGAGCATCCATATCTCACATTTGAGGGAGGATTCTATGGTCCGAACATCGAGTCGAAGATTCTCGTTGAAGACTGGATTCCTTCCTCCGCCGTTAATGATCTGAGTTGAGACGGTAGTTTCAGGATTGCTGGTCAGGCAAAGCTTGGCGTAGACATCTTGCTTATGGTATATGCAGATATTGTGAATATCCCTAGCTTGGTGTATGAAAACCTCAAGAACGCCGATGAAGCCGTCCGTGTTGCCTACTACAGCTTCCTTCCCAGGGATAGAAATTTCCCCTGTGAAACCGTCGGAACTCCGAATACCAAAACCGGAATTCTGGATCTCCGGCTCGGCAACGACAGATGAGCTCTTGAGCATAGACACGACTGGTTGGTGAGAGTCCATGAACACAAACAATAGTTAACACTTAACACCAAGCTCCAAGCACCCGATAAACTAAGGAGCAGAAAAGGAACAAAAGGAAACTAGTTCTCGAGATTTTAGAAGACAAAACAAGTGAACAAAAATGCAAACCAAAACCCAGTTAGAACTTAGAATTTAACACTCAGGATAGCGTGGTATAACCATGACATGACACAAAACCCAACCCACGATTGTGCAGACAAATGCAAAATAGACAAAAACATAAAAAAACTAAACCCTAGCTGGTATGATAATGTGATATAAAGACAGATGATCAAAATCCAGAAGCACAAACCCTAAAAATAAGATAACTTTCAGGTGAATTACTTCAGATCGAGGCACCAAACCCAAAAATAAGCAAAACCCCAGCAACAGGGAACAATAACAACAGAATCCAATAAAGCTACCGGCTCTCCTTAAAGAAACGACACAACATCCAAGGGAGTGAAACAGGGGAAAGAGAAATTACAGCAACTCAGGTGGAGTCATAGAACTCTATGCATAACCCGTATACTTTAAAAACATTCAGAACTCAGAATCACCAAAATTGGAACAGACACTTTAAAGGCTGTGTGTGTATAAGAGAGAGAGACGTTCACTTTCCTATTTTTTTCTTGCTCTTGCCCTCTCTGCTCAAAGTCAAAGCGTTTTCTGTAGAGACCGTATCAGCTTATGAATATCTTACCAATGACCCAGTCCGTGGATCGAGGCGTCTCAGCAAAATGTGAAAATTCTTTGCCAATTATACCTGCAAATCTGGATAAAAAGAACACTTTGTTGTACGTATTTATCGGATACCATATTTTTATTGGAAGGGTCTGGCCTCTTGCTGCTGCAGCTAAGCAAATTATCCTAGAATTGCGGATAGAATTTTCACCCTTTATCCCTTTATTTGTTCTCTATTTACAGTCTCATAGTATTTCTGAAAAATTGGAAAATTTCACCTCACTTTGCATTTCACTTTTAGACCCTAGAGTCCTGGATAGACTAAAAGATAATGGAGTGTTCAAAATTCAACGGTGATGTTGCAATGTTGGTTCTTTTCTTTCTATTCTCCTATCCTTTTATTAGATCCGATTCATCCTTGAAAGACCAAGAGAAAAAAGCTTATTAAATAATCAAAAGGCTTGGAAAAGTAAAGGATATGCAAAAGCTTGGGTGTATTATGCTACTATTTTAATAGCAACCACCCACTTAGTTAAAATGGGAGATCACTATCCATTTAATTGTTGGAGCTCTGCCCATTGCATTTCTCTCCAAGTCTTAATTTGTATGCTATACAAATTTGCAACTTTCTCGACTTCTTTTAAAGACAAAAAACGGTAGAAACAAGAAGAAACCTTCAAAACAATTCAACAGTCTACACCCACCCACCAGAGAGAGAGAGAGAGACAGAGCAGAGCAGACAGCGCCATGGCTTATTATTTAGGGGTCGGTGGCTATAGTTCAAATCAGTTGATGGGTCACGATATGCAAGAAACTTTTTTAAGAACCTTTATGAGAAGAGACTCGTATATCCATCCAAATTAAAAGTAGATTTGTGTGGGGTGGGAGGATGGCCTCTTGTTCTTAGACCCTTTGCACACAGTCGAAGCAATGGGGCCCTTTGTCTTTTTCAAAGGTCTAATTCGACACCGATGGATTAGACATGCAGGGGGGAAAATTCATGCATTCTACTATTTTAACCCAATAAAGTTGACCCTCTAAAACCACGGTAACTATCTACACAGCACACATCAGAAGACATACATGTGTAATTTGTTATCCAACATAAGAGCAACCCAATCAGGTGGACTTCTGCAAACCCTAATTTGTGAAGCACATTTTACCATTTTTATGCAATATAATAGAACGAAAGGTTTCATCCTACCACATGTCCCATCATACATACATGGGTCTCCGTAGAGACTGGTAGACAGTGGTTGGACAGTGAAAAGCCACAAGTGACTCTTTAGAAGTCTGAACTCTGAAACCCACCAATCCAATCAACAACTACAACTAGATTAAATCGTCATCCTGTGTTGCAACTTTTTCCTTTTTCAAAAGAAAAAAGAAAGCCTACCCGCTCAGTGGTTACTGGTTAGTACTTTGTACTGGTGATGTTTGACCTGGCCTCATCTGATTGACCCGATTGATTGGGTAGTTATAAGGGTGCAATTTTGGCGGGTCCAATCAGAACCCGCCCGATTCAGCTCGCAATTTTGCAAGATATGGGCTTGGATATAAAAGTTTTGGCATTTCATTTTCCGGGCTAGGATCCAGCCTAAAGTAGCTTGAACCGATCTGAACTTATCCTAACCCAAGCCTTGGGTTAATCCGATTGTATATGCGGAGAAGTAGGGATAAGCCCAATACAGATTTCTGATACATGTAACCTGATTAGTGTGGGTTAATTAACCAACCTGAACCTAACCTAGTCCTAAGCCCGAGCCCAATCCTGATTCATTGAATTTCAGTGTGGGCTGGGCTCAAATTGTAACCTTGGGCTTAGGCCTTAAAATTCAATTTTTAAGACTGGGCTTGGGTTGAGCTTAAACCCAACCCAGCCTATCTAACTTGTACCTCTAATCAAATGACTTATTTGGGCTGGGGTATAGATGTCAAAGTATTAGGTCTGACTCGATAGGGAACGGTTTTATTTGATAGGAACACAAATCATATAACCTAATAACCAGAACCAACATAATTGGATCGATTGGTTAGGTTCTACCTGATAAACTCAGCCCATGCATTGATAGCCCTAATTTGGGTGGTTTTGCTTTTGCCCATCATCAAAGCAAGAAGTGGAGTGGACAATTCAATTCACAATTCCCGGGCCCATGTAGTTTGTGTTGCTTTTGCTTCATTTGTCTATGCTTTAGTGGTAGATACGAAAGAAATAATGAACATCCGTCCCTCCAACACTAACAATATTGGCAGCAGCAACAAGAATATTCAGTAGTCTCGGTGTGTTCCAGACTAACTCGGATTCAGTTGTGAGATTGTGCACATACTATCCTCACAGCCATTTGTAGCTGTGTATTAGAAATATCTCTCCATAAATAAGAACATTTAAATATGGAGATATTTCTAACACAGTTACAACTGACTGTGAGGATCGTATGAACATGTTTTTGTAAGGATTGAATCCGATCTTTCTCCAAATCATAATTTTTAAAGAGTTATTAATTTTAAAATCATGCTCGCTCATATTCAAGTGATCTTCATTAAGGAAGTCATCCACTGACCTTATTGAGTTTGGGTCCCAATTTGAATTTGATAGTCCACGATGTGACAATACAAACAAGATTTTCTACTCACTTTTTCTACCCACTCTTTACTAGCTGTGAATTGCAACCACACATCTATATTATGAATTGAGAGATGTATGCCTAATTTGGATTAGTAACAATAAGAATAATAACCATTTTTACCTATTTTCAAGATGGAAAACATGTAAGGCCAATGACTGATAGAAGGAAATTGTCAACTACGCAAGCACACGACCCAACGTTGGAGTTCCCCCTATAAATTTATGCTTGGTTTCATTGTGCATGTTGACAGCATTTAAATTTCCTTACCAGGAGAAAAACTTGTGGTGCTATTTAGACTATCAAAAGTCAAGATGGCCGAGTTGGTCTAAGGCGCTAGTTTCAGGTACTAGTCCGAAAGGGCATGGGTTCGAATCCCATTCTTGACAAATATTTATGGTTTTTATTTTTCTTAATATTGATTGGATTTGTTGGTTTGAATACTATTGGCCAAGGAAAATGCCATTGTTTACCAATTTTATGAAAAAGTATGTAAGAGAAATGTAAAAAAGTGAAGGCGATTTATTGATTAACCTTTTTTGTCAATTCTATTTGAATATAATCCTGAAAAGTGGAAGGCATGATGCCAAACGGGCTTTGACTAAATTCCTTTTTGGTGGAATATGACACTGTTCATTGGATCATGTCTTATTTGAAATTATATTTCCAAATTGAATTGACAAAAAAGATTATTATCATCAATAAATCCCTTTCATTTTTTTTTTCAATTCTCTTAGGTTCCATTTGTTTTTTAGTAAGTTATTTATTCAGGTAAATGTAATTATTTGGGTAAGTTTTTCGTGGGAAATACTTGGATAAGTGCACTTATCCATGTTCTTTTATTTTCTAGGTAAACAAGGCAATGACCATTTTAGCCATAAAAATCTATTATTAAAAGGGGCATTTTTGTCCCATTCAAGTGTTGGCAACCTTCCCCCTAGGTGGAAAAGTTATTTATCCACCTAGGAGATGGGTATTACTTACTCGGGTGTGATACCCAGGAAAATAAACTTTCCCTGGCCCCAACATAAATATAAAAAAAGAACATGACATCTTGGTCAGTGGGAAACGGGCATTGACTAAATACCTTTTTGGTGGAATATGATACTGGTTCATTGGATCATGTCTTATTTGAAATTATATTTTCAAATCGGATTGACAAAAAGGATTATTATCATCAATAAATCCCTTTCATTTTTTTTTCATTTCTCTTAGGTTCCGTTCGTTTTTTGGTAAGTTATTTACTCGGGTAAATGCAATTATTTGGATAAGTTTTTCCTGGGAAATACTTACTCGGGTAAGTGCATTTACCCATGTTCTTTTATTTTCTAGGTAAACAAGGCAATGACCATTTTAACCATAAAAATCTATTATTAAAAGGGGTATTTTTGTCCCATTCAAGTATTGGCAACCTTCCCCCTAGGTGGGAAAGTTATTTATCCACTTAGGAGATGGGTATCACTTACTCGGGTGTGATACCCAGGAAAATAAACTTTCCCCAGTCCCAACATAAATATGAAAAAAGAATATGGGATTCTTGGTCAATGGGACCAAAATCCCATTGACCAACTTCCCCCCCTCTCAAAATCCCAAAAAAGAACACCCCCTTAAGCATACCCTTTCTGCTTTCCAAAACCTCCATGGGCCCCATGCAAGAGATTTACGGTTAAATGATTTTTGGTTTTGCAAATTTCTATAACTCCGCTTTGTTTTTCTCCCATTTCTCTTAAATATACCTTTTCAAATCTCCATAGACCCATGTGAGAGATTTAACATTAAAAGATTAATGGTTTTTGCAAATTTCTATATTACCCCTCCAAAACTCCCTATAAGGAGGTTGGGGGAAGCAGTGATCATTGTCTCCTTCCTCCCGACAATTGAACTAGATAATATATACAGCATTTGAAACTTATAGTAGAGAAGAAGCAGGTCAATTAAATGTTGCAAAAACATCAACGAATGCCCATAGTGACGAGAGAAAGAGAGGGCTTTGGTTCCGCTGTAGAGATGAAGATAGAAAAAGAAGAACAAGAGAAAGGAAAGAAGAAGGAGTTTGGCTTTGTATACTGCATTGCAGCTTCAATTTACCCAACACCCTCCTGGATTTTTGTCCTTTTTTGTCTTTAATTTTGTTCCTGAGGCTTAGTTTGGAGAGAATACAAATACAAATATGTACTGTGCAAATACATAGAAAATTATACAAAATATAAGGTTTTGCACTTTACATATTTGCATTTGTACTCCTTCCAAACTAAGCCTGAGGTTCCGTTTGGAAAAGTGCAAATACAAACATGTACAGTGCAAATACAAGGTTTAAAAGCAGTACTGTATGTAAAGTTTTGCACTGAACATATTTGTATTTGTACTCTTTCCAAACTGAGGTTGAAGTACTTCCAACCCTTTTGCTATCTCTACAAAATGCCACATCATCCGATTATTATCAACAATTTGGATGAATATGGTCGAGTTCATGTCTGTGCCCCACTCCCCACTGAGGATGCCCCACAAATGCCCCACATGCACATCTCGGCATGCATTGAGAACATTTCCCATACTTATTGTCAT